TCTTCAACCTGGTAGTGGGTATGAACTGCCCGGGCGGCGCGCGCGCTCCCCTATTTATACCTGGGCAGGTGAGGGAGGGGCGGAGCCAAGGAAACTCGCGCCTACCTGAGCATCCTACACACACCAACACGCTACTATCCTACACGGAGACGGACCACAATTAGCCCAAGACTCGGGCACCTTTGATACCCGTCCTGGAGGTGGTTTGATCGGTCGAGCCGAGCAGGGGCACACGCGACCGCCTCCCCCCCCCCCCCTGCTAGCCGCCCCTCTCAACAGCTCCGCCGCAGCATTAATAACGCAAAATTACCTCTGATTCTTCTTACGTTTTCTCTTTGACTATCGCAGGAGACATTATTTATCTTCTCGTTTTATCTTCATTATCCCGAACATTTTTCTTTTCTATATCTTGCGATCACAATTGCGTTTTCTCATTAAACTAATGATCGGATAATAGTGTCTGCTTTCGCATATATCTTGCCATCGCGCCGGACCGCAAAATCACAAGCTTCGCGGCTCGTAATGGTTTTATATCATCCCGGGGTCGCTCGCAGCCTCCGTCCCGCCGCCGCCTCGCCAGGGAGGACTCGCGGCGGATCGTCACCGCTCCTCACGCACAAGCACGCACACAGACATAGGCACACACACATAAACGCGTAGACACACATAAGGAAAGACGGAAAGAGGGAGAAAGGGGAGGGAGGGAGATTGAGAGAGTGAGAGATAAATAGATAGATAGATAAATAGAGAAAGAGATTGAAAACGAAAGATAGTTGAAAAGAAAGACCAACAGATTTTCCAAACAAGCAGATTACCTGTCAAAGACCACGCTTTGCAACCAGCCCACATATTCCCGTGTCCAGCCAGGGGAAAATGCCCGTCTCCCGCAAAATTCTTCGTTGACACAAATTTGATCCGGAATTTGAAATGCGAGACCCACCCACACTCCCCTTCTCCTAACTCACTCCTTGGGGGAGGCAGACAAAACTCCCCCCCCCCTACACACCCACCCGGCTCCTGTCCCCTTATAAGGGCGTCTTTAGACCACCTAATGTCTCGAAGATGGAGAATTAAATCCTCTAAAGTTACAGGCCAACCCTGCAAACGTATCTCGGGCGAGTGATATCGGGTTGAGGGAGTCCATTTTCTTTCGCTAACGGACACGATCTCTTTTCAACGCTCCTCGCCAGCTACTCTCTCTCTCTCTCTCTCTCTCTCTCTCTCTCTCTCTCTCTCTCTCTCTCTCTCTCTCTCTCTCTCTCTCTCTCTCTCTCTCTCTCTCTCTCTCTCCCTCCATTTATTTCTCAAAATATGTATATCTATGTACCTTTTTAAATGTTTATCTATCTTTTATTTTTATCTTCCTATCTGTTTATCTCTCTATCTATCCATCCATCTATCTACCGATCTATCTATCTATCTATATCCATTAATTTCCCAAAATAAGCATATCTATATATCTTTTTTAATGTTTATCTATCTTTTACTTTTGTCTTCCTCTTTCTCTCTCTCTCTCTCTCTCTCTCTCTCTCTCTCTCTCTCTCTCTCTCTCTCTCTCTCTCTCTCTCTCCCTCCCTCCCTCCCTCCCTCTCTCTCTCTCTCTCTCTCTCTCTCCCTCCCTCTCTCTCCCTCTCTCTCTCTCTCCCTCTCCCTCTCCCTCTCCCTCTCTCCCTCCCTCCCTCTATCTTTCTTGATGAACAGGTAAAGGTTCAGATTTCAGATTTTCGACCCCGTTTCGTCTTTTTCCAAGGCCCTGAGGCGATGAGGGTGGGAGAAGGGGGCGGAGAAGACGGTGGAGGGGGGGAGGGAGGAGTGAGGTGTAGTGGTATGCCGAGTGGAGATTAGATTAACGTCTTAAGCGGGATCAATCAGAAAGATCATCTTTTATTAGTTGAGCGAAATCGTATTTGTTGTTATTAATTACCTTCGTTTTCTGTGTTTTTGTTATTGTTGTTTTTGCCATGTTGATGTCTTTTCTGGTAATCTTGGTGATGTTTTTGGATTGTTTTCTTTATGTTGATTTTTTTGGGGGGTATCGTTCTTATCTTCGTTATTTTCTTGGCCATAATGGTTCTTACTATTAATTTCAGCATCACTATTAGCGTTCATTGAAATTATCTCAGTTACTGTACTCGTTACTGCAATGAATGACACTTTATAAATTTTTCAGCACACCATTGACTATGACATTGGCATAAATATTGCCAACCGTGTCAGTATTGCCATAAGAAAACAACATTGATATCAGTCTCATATCAAAATAACGTAACACACCTCAGTACTTCCCTCACCCCCCCACCCCTTGATCCATAGGTCCGAAGTGGGGGGTAGAGGGCATTCGAAGACCTGGAGGTCGACCTTGGCTCAGCGAGATTAATTTGTCCCAGCGGTCAGCAAGATGGATGAATCGCATCGCCAGACGTGGGAAGGGCGGGAGGGAGGGAGGGAAGGTTGAGGAAAGGGCCCGGAGGGAAGGGAAGGGGAGGGGAGGGAGAGGATGGAGTGGGAAGGAGGTAGAAGGGGAGGGAGGGGAGAGGATGGAGAGGGAAGGGGGTAGAAGGGAATGGAAGAGGAGGGAAGGAAAAGGAACTTGGAAGGAACTCAAGTGAAGGAATGGTCGACCGAGGGAGAGAGATAGATAGGATAGGAAAGAGGAGAGAAGGAAATAAAAAAAATAAATAAATAAAAGTGAAGAAAGAAGAGAGAGAGAAAAAAAAACATTATAAAAGGATGAACGTAAGAAAACATAAAACAGAGGACAAGAAATGAGTGAAGTACAAGGAGGGGAAAAAAGAAAACAAAATGGAAAGATACCCCTCGCCCCCCCACCCCCCCCCCAAAAAAAAAAAACGAAAGACATTTCTTCTCCCCCCCATCCCCCTTCGCCCCTCTCAACACCGATCTTGCTCACGTGTTGTGTTTGCGAGAGGCTTCCCGTTGAGGCCTGATTAGCTCGGTCCCGCAGGCTTCCTTCCACGCCTCACTTGCGACACACACAAACACACTTGCATAAAAGGACACCTCTGGGGAGTGTTGTGGTAGCTGGCTTTTTTATCTATCTCTTTCGTTTTCTTGTTTTTTTTCCACTCTCTTTGATCTTTTCGTCTCTCTCTCTCTCTCTCTCTCTCTCTGTGTCTCTCTCTTTTTCTCCTTTTTGCTTTTCTTTCCTCATTTTTGTTCTTAATTTACAACACAATTGGAAACCGTAATAGATAAAGCTGTTGATCGCATCTTTAGATCAGGAGCCTCGACTCGTTTTCAAGATAAGACGAACAATTGATCAATTATGCTGAAAACTAGAGAGACAGATAGATAGACAGGCGGACTGAAGAAAAGAGGGGAGAAGAGGAAAAAAGAAAAGAGATAAGAAGAAGTAAAAAAAAAAAAAAAAAAATCACACATGTACCCTTACATACACAGCAAGAAGCAAGACAGGCAGAAGACTGCAACATTATCAAGATGGAAAACAGACGTTGATTGAATGTTCCTGGATAGCTATCTCCCCGGCATCAAAATCTCCGCCAAGAACCCCACACGCATTCGCTTTGTTGGGGGACACGTGGAAGCAATACCTTCTGCTCGCATTTATAAGGGTTGTGCTGATGTGAGAGAGGAATTTTTGAAAGTAAATCGATACTGTGAACAAGACCCTGTTTCCATCCGTACCGTTGTTTACTATACGTCTCTTGAGAAGACTTAAAATATATACATATATAATAAGTAGAGTTTGTTTCGCATGCATATATATTATTTTTCTTATTTATTCCTTCAGGGTTGTATAGACGATGCCCAGCGAATAATGAAGACCACGTTACCAAATCTGTGAGACTCGAAAAGGGGTGGATAATATTACGTGACTCATTTGAAAGTTGATCCCAATCATCTCTTGTTAACCGAAACCACAGAAGTCGAGACTTTTAGTCCCCTTGGCTTAGATTGATATTCCTCCATGACAGAGTAAACCAGGTATTAGATTTTATTGCGCGCTTAAACTGCTTACCGAAAAAAATGCAAGAAAACAAGTGGAAAAAAATTAAAATGCTTAGATAAAATAGTATAATATAGTAATATTACGTTATATTGAATTGATTATAAGACTTTGTGAAATGATCGTAATGTTGATGGAAAAAGCGTTATGATGATATTGATGGGGATGAAAAGATTATTTATGATAATGATAGTAATGATAACGAAAGTGATAGTATCATTACCATTATCATTGTTATTTGTTATCATGAACATTGATATTGTTGTAATTATCGTCGCTATCATTATTATTGTTGTTGTTATCACTGTTATTATTATCATCATCATTATAATAATAATAATGATTATTATTTTTTTTTATGATCATTATTATTAACATTATTATTATCACTATCCGTATTGTTATTGTCATTATTATTATTATTATTATTACTATTATTATTATTATTATCATTATTGTTGTTGTTGCTGTTGTTGATGTTATTATTATCATTATTATCATTATTATTATTATTATTATCATTATTATTATTATTATTATTAGCAGGAGCAACAGCAGCAGCAAAATTATCATTATTATTACCGTTATTATTATTATTATTATTATTATCATTATCATTATTATTATTATTATTATTATTATTATTATTATTATTACTATTATCATCATTGTTATTATTATTATTATTATTATTATCATCATTATCATTATCATTATTGTCATTGTAGTCTTTATTGATATTACTATCATTATCATTATCCTAATATTATTGTTATTATCATCCTTTATTTTACTATTAATGTTAGTATTATCATAATCGTCATCATTATTATTGGAAGTAGTAGTGGTAATGAAAAGTAATTTCATTTTTATTATAATTATTATCATCATTATCATCTTTGTTATTATCATTACCATTAGTATTATTATAACTATTATTACTGTTGTTTGTTCTTGTTATCATTACTACTATCATTATTGTCATTATTATTAATACCATCAATATTATTAT